CCAATTGTACCCAAGAAGGTGAGTTTCGGGACAGGGAACCTTACCTTAAAGATACTTTACATGATCCAAAGGAAAAAATAGATATATTTTGGTCAATCACTAGCGATGGATAAAATAAACCCTTAACTTTTGGCAAAAGAGGAACTCCTTTTCCTAAAGCTTCCCAGCAAACACAACTCAAGACAGACACTGACCGTGAAGACATGTTGGGAACTGCTAATCACTGTCACCAATTGTCTGCCTGGTAGGAGGCCAGCATCTGCAATATTTTCAGAATTATTACGGAATATATTTTCCACTCTAGGTTAGAACTCTCTAGTCCTAACCAGGCAGGAACTCTCTGCTCTGCAGAGCTCATTGCTCAAAAGAGCTTCCCTGTACTGCAGGGAGGTGCCCTCATGGGAGATGTTTGCAGGAGGGCCCTTGGCTGCCCAAGGAAGAGACCCATCACCATGGCGGGGACAATGCAGCACTCAAGGGCCTGAGATAAGGTCCTCCCTCTCCTCCAGGCTTTCTGCCTCACAGATCCAGAGCCAGGCCTTCCCATAGAGCAAGCAAGGAGAGACAAGCATGAAATAACAGGATCCACAGCAGCCTGCTCAAGAGTTTGGCAGGCCGCCGAGGTCCGCTCGCTGCAGAAGCCAGTGAGAAACGCTTGCAAGAGCAGCTCCACTCTCCCAGGACAATGTTATCAGTGGTAGCCTTTTTCCCCTTATCTGGTGCCTCAGCTGCCTACACCTTACCCAGAATGTGGAAGAACTGGGCTCCCGTGGCCTCCACCGCCCCAGGGGATTCAAAGCCACCCTGTCCTCCTTCCCATGCTGCAGGGAGCCAACCCGAGCCAAGCCCTGATCCATGCTGGGAGCGATAAACCAGCCTGCTCAGTTCAAATAAGAGCTCTGCCTCACCTCAAGCCTTGGATGCACCGTGGCTGCCCAGGAGGAGCTTTGGAGGGATGAGCTCCGTTTTGGGGAGAAATCTCTTCCTGCAAAGGCAAGGCAGAGCACAGCTGCCAGCAAAGCACCAGGAGATCTCAGCTACAACACAGAAAACCATGATCTCCTCCTAGGGTGACCTGTGGCTTTTACCTATTCCAGGCACTCCCTACATCAGCCCGGCACCCCCAAAATGAGTAGGTGCCAGGTGGACCCAAAGCGTGCCCAGGGCAAAGCAGGGCTGTTGGCAAACCCTTGGGGCACCTCGTGTCAGCAGCTGAACAAGGCTGGAAGGTATCACACAACTTCACATCCATCATCTCTCGCACCTGAGTTGCGATCCTTTAAAGTAACCTCCACTCCAACTGCTGAGCACAACTCACTAAAAATACTCACTCCTTACCTAGATGAATGTCCTACCAAAGTTAGGAAACAATGAACACTTCCACAGGGACCACAATCTCATCCTGACCACCCAACTCCTACCTCCCTTCAACTTGTGTCACTCAGGGAAAGACACAGCTGAGCCCTAAATCTCCAAGGGTGAAATGGCGCAGGACGCCTCTTCCTTGCCCTGCCACATCAGCTCCACTGGCTGGGCTCTCCAGCTGGCATGAATGCCTGGTTTTCTTCAGTCAGAGGAGACTATTTCAGCCTAAACTAAGGAGTTTTCCTCATAAAATAATGCTAAGCTCAAGCAAACCTTTCTTAACACTCGAAATACAGCTGTTTCTGCAGGGTCTCGTGCTGGTCTCACTACACACCTGCTTGAAACAAGGACGATAACCAGAGAAGAGAAAGCCTGGTACAGCTGGAATAAATTCAAGAAACCACACAGTGCAACAACATGGATGCAGCTCCAGCAGACCTGCTAAAGCACCCAGCCAAAGGGTCGTGTGACGAAGCACCGGCACCACCACCCAAAAACCTGCTAGAGCTCGTCAGCCCCATCCCTAGGGCGGCTGATTTTTGTAGAGCAACAGTTTCGTGTTGAGAGCAAGCGGCCCCGTTTTCCATCAGTTCTCCAGCTGATGCCTTGACTATGGAAGAACCATTCTAATCTCCAAGCCCCGGCAAGAACACACCAAGCAACCGGCTGCGACAAACGCTCGAGGAGACGCTGTAAAATTGATTAGTCATCAAAAATCATCAGACCATAGAAGACGCTCCAGCTGTGCTACTCCTATTTGCGTAGAGAAATGCAGGAGGCTGGGCTCTATTTAAAATTAATTTCTTCTTTTTATTTTTGTTTACTAGAGTCTAAGTTACTCTAGTTGACAATTATGCCTATTATCCAATTCCTTTCTTTTCGACTGCCTCACTGCTTTTTTGTTGTCTTTGAGGGAAAGAAAAAAAAATCCCAAAGCCAGGAAATTTCTAGTGAGTGCTATTTTTAAATGAGAAACAGTTTTATGCAGAGCTCAAGAAGGTGCTTAAACCATTCAATGTGCATTTTAAGCCCTCAGTTGAGCACAGAACTTAACATCTAAATAAATCCTTTGAAATGAACAGCAATTTTGAGGCAATCCACTGTGTGCAACCTAGCCAAGCACTAGCCAAAGCGCTAAGTCAGATCATTGCTGTAAGGGTAAGAGGGCAGGAGAAAAAGATTTGAATTTTGGCTAATTCGCTTCTGCAAAATCACTGTCAGCACCCATTTTTCAGCTCATAAAAAAATCTCAGAAGAAATTTAAAACAATAACTTTGAGATCAATGGTTCAGAAAAAACTACAAAAAGAAAAGAAAAAAATATTGAAAATGCTGTCAAGATTGCTACATACTATTCATTAGGCTTGGCAATTATGACAGAAGGTACCTATAAAAAGTCACACAGCAACAACCAAAACATGGACTTCCTGTACCCACGACAGCAGCAGACATTTCCGCCAAGCCAGGAGAATGGAGGGAGCCAAATGTCCCTGCAAGCCGTCCCTTTTGTGTCATTGCTTTTAAACCAATTGCAACCTGCAGAGACACCACAGAAACTCTCCCTTCTCCTGCCTTCCACATTAGAAAAAATATTCAGGCACATAAAGGTGCATTCTCCAATGGAGCCAGTGACAAGGTGACCAGCACCTTCCCTAACAGGTGGAGGGTAAGGCCAAGATTTACTTTCAAGGTGCTATGCTAGCTCCCACTCAGCCAACCAAGAGATTAAAAAAACAGTTTTAAGCAAAGTCATTACCCCCACCTTAACTCTGGAGATGCTAGCAATGTCCCGGCAGCATCACAGATGATTTGTCAAATTGGAAACTTCTTCCTTGGCATTTAACGGAGCTTTCCCTAGTACCTAAGCTGGAGCAACACATGTTACTTGTGAGGATGAGCCCCTCTCTTGGAGAAGAGAGGGGCAAAATACTCTGTTCAAGCATGTCTTCCAAAGCTATACCAAGCAGCACCATGCACTTTCACACCAAGTGGTGAGATACTGCACAAACTCAGCTAACTATGACTCAAGCCAACCTGCTTAATGCAACCACCACCAAAAACCTTCAACAAATACCAACAATCCCCTACATCTGTCTTTCTTATGGCATGGCAGAAGTCTAACTACACGCAATTAAATTCTGTCAAAATCAAAGCCCACAGACTTGTCCAAAGTGGGAAGCGGCCCTTGAAGGCATCAGATAAAAGCAGGCAATGCTTTCAAGTCGTAGTGTCAGTGCAGTTGGACTGGATCGTGTCACCTAAGGCAAGGTCACTCCTCGCTCTGCTTTTGAACGAGTTTTCTTTGCATTCTACAAACAGTAGTGTTATAAACATGACCACTTTGATCCCTGCCCTCCATTCTCACCACACAAATCATAAGCATTAATGAAAGATGCAGCTCAAACACTGATTAAGGCCATGTTAAATGCTCTTCTGCTGGAGCTCCCTGCTACTTCTCTCCAGTGCATCACATTGACTAACTTCACTACGGAGGTCCATGATGTTTTTCAGATGTTTTGTTACAAGCTCTTTTATTTTTGTGGCAACAGCTTTAATGAAGTCTGAGTTTTTAATGAGGTGCAAGCTACACACAAGTCACACATGGGTTGATTTCTACAAAAGCAGACACCAAGTTCGGTGCAGCATCTGTATACGATGGGATGAGATTTGCATGAGATCAGCACCAAGACAGGAAGCAAGAACTGAAGAAAGCGCTTAAGACGTGTTGAGATTTTTATTACAGGATGAGCACAATTTTAGAAAAGCTTAAGACTGCACATCAGAAAAGGAAACTTGGCAGTTATGGTATTTCCTATTCTCTCCGATTCAGTCCATAAGTGACAACGCAGCAGGGCAAGAGCAATGATTCAGGGAAATCATGGTCACGTGGGAAAATAAAGAGCGACTACTTCGAGAAAACAGAAATAACCAGTGTGGGTTCCTGGCCAATATCTTTGTTTGCCCAGGTCACCACCAGCACCGAGTAACCACAAACAACAACGCTCAAACACTGGCAATTCCAAGCAACCCCAAATATCCCCTCGTGCTGGCTCTCACCATGGTCTTAACCCACAAACGGGAAACAGCACCTTCGCTGCTTGCCAAATCCTGCAAGAGCGTGTTTCTTTTTTTTTGTTTTGTTTTAAATAAACCCATAATAGACCTTTAACAGCTTGCCAAGCAAATATTAACATTGGATATAATACTTAGACAAAGCACATGCACACGGTCAGGCAGGGATGCATGGCATCAATGTGGGCAGCATCCCGCATACATACCTGTCCCATGCCCTTCCAAGGCACGTGCACAGAGGAAAGCTCTTCTTAAATAGCACGGAAAACCACACGCACAATACCTAAAGCGACCTCCTCCACCTGCCACCTCCCTGTCACCCATGCCCAAAGCCTCCGCGTGAGCAGCCAAGAAGCAACGTTCTTGGGAGATGAAGGGGAGCAGCGAGCTCGCCAACCCCTGTCATCTCCTTCGGCTGAATAACCGTTAAAAAATAAAGAACAGAAAAAAGGGGAAAGGGGGGAAAAAAGGAAAGAAAAGCAGGTGGGTATGGGCTGGGTGCAGCCCAAGAGCTGCATGGTGGCTACTCTGGAGCGCAGGCGAGAGCAGGGCCCGCGTACTCACCCGGTGGTTTCATGTAATATTGCTCGATGTCAGACATGTCCGTATGCAGGGCGCAGTCCAGATAGTGCAGGATAACTTTTCTGCTGAAGTAGTGCGTCATGCCCATGAGCAAGAGGGGCAAGCAGCAGGGCAGCAGGAAGGACTTGGTCACAACAAAGCACATCACTATGGAGATAAGGAAGAGAAATAAACGACACCTGTCAGAAAAGAGAATTTAGTGTTGATTTCAGAACGCAGACTCATTAAACAAATTAAAAAAGACAAAAGAAAGCACACACAAACGCACATCAGTATGCACGAGCTCTCGGTCTCAAGGTTGAGCGGTGCGAGGGAGGGCCCGGTGCGCGGAGCCAAACCCGGGATGCCTGGGAAGCCCCGGACGCAGCCAGCAGTCCTGGAGGGGGGATGGCAGCCCCTGGGCCCTTGGGGAAGCCGGGGGAGCCCCCCGGCTGCCCCCGCAGCGCCAGGGCTCCCCCTGCCCCTCTCCGGCCAAGGGCACAAGGAGTGTCATGGGGGGCACATTTGCAATGGGAGGGAACACACGTTAATTGCAATGCGAGGGGGAAACGCACGTTAATCGCAACGGGGGGTCTAAGGCACCGTTGCCAATGGCGGTGGCAGACACGTTATTT